ACAGACACACAAACCTCAGCACTTGGTGAGTGGTGCCACACCAGCAGCGAACACACAAACTTTAACCTCTATACGCAAATATGCGGCCTCCCAGCATCTGGGCCTAGACACCGAGCGGCCGCACATTTGCGTTCTTTTAAAAAAAAAAACATATGTGCTGAGAGCGAGTGCCCTGCACACATGTCCGGTACTCACGGAAAGGTCCAGATCTCCTCTTTTGATCGTGACCTCTCCCGATCATGTGACCGCCGTGACGGCGTGTCACGGTGGTTACATGACCCTTAACCCCGCAAGGGGTTAAAAAACAATGGTGAATGGTGACGGCCTCAAGATATCTGGGGCACCCACTTTGGGTGTGCAGTGCTAACAAGGCCAATGGTTAGACATTTGCAGTGGTGCCTGCTGTCTGCAGCCTCCTGATTGGACAGTGAAGCAGCAGCAGCAGCAGTGGTTGTGTGATCATGGCCTCTCTTAGAACTCTGCATCAAAATCTCCAAGACAAAAGTAGGTAGGAATCTGCAATGAAATGTTTTTAAATTCTTAAGGTGTAATACATTTTCCTGGAGAAGTGTGTTTTTTAACAAAAGTTGAGTTTTACTTTATGCTTCCATTAAAAACAGCTTTCCTTTGTGTAATGATGGCATTTACAGGCATATTTCCCACAAACAATGACTGACAGAAGCTTGGTTTGCCATCTGTGTTATTACTATTTATATACTTTAAGAACAGTAAAGACTGCATTTTATCCTAACCTGTCCAGGTGATTTTCTGGCAAAAAATATTCCCTATTTATTTACATTAATTACGTGTTTTATCTACACAACTCCTTTTCCTAAAGAGAATGTACATTACATGTAAGACAATGAAATTAGAAGAAAGGTCTGTAAGTGATCTTTTGCTGTCATCAAGATAGAATCATGAAGAGAATTCACATATATTTCTGATATCTTAAAGCGAACCTGACCTGTTTTTTTTTTTTTCTATGGTAACCATTATAAATTGAAAACACCAGAGGTGTTAACCTTCAGATTGATAATCATTTCCTTCTGGATTCCCTTGGATCCTAGGCCCAGGCTGTAAATGGGGTCTCAACCTCTGCATGCCAGTATTAAGACTCAACGCTCATTAAACCATTCTTTTCATTCAACAGTTAAATGTCAAAGAAAGAACTTAGCACTGGAGCAGGGCTTTGCCTTGACTTGGGCAGAACTTGAAGGGTCTGGTCATGGATCCAATGGGCGCCACAGGGGCAGAGAGATCAATTAAAAGACTAACAAAGATACTTTCAGATACCAAAAGGTGCTTGCACTTTAAATCTTTTGTCTGGTGTGTTAATTTATTGAGATCTTTCTTCACAAACATACACCATTGCAATGAAGTATCATTAATATATTCATCTAGCTGATCTTTTAATCCTTTAGGGGCTTAACTTTGAAGAGTATGCAACCATGAATAAAGTGTTATCACCCTTACCAACCATTCCAAACCTAGGCTGGATTTACCATTATGCACAGTAGGCCCATGCCTATAACAAGAGGAAAAGAGGTGGCTTTATTTTGCATAACTAACGCACACACAATGGTATTCCATCATCAGGGGTAATCCACATTTCACATGATATTATCACAATATTCTAAGCCAGGTTAGGACCAGGAAAACAAGGCAGTGTCTTCTGTAAAATAGCTGATCCTAGCAGAGAGGTGTTACTTGGGGTGAAAAAAGTTGGGTGCCTACAAACTCTGGTGTTATAAAACTGACCTAGGATTGCACATATGACAACTGGAAGTTAGTTGCTATGAGCAATAAGGTCTGTCTTCTTTAGCCTATTCTTTATACATGTGGTCCTCACTAAAAACAGGGAATCTGGACCAGAGATGCTAGCAACAAAAAGTCCTGCTGATGGCCAAATTTTAGAACAGCACAAGGTTGATAAAGTTGTTCTTTTGCTAATTAAGGCTCATCTAATTAAAGCTTAACTCAGAACATCTCAATTATCAGATTTTTCCTACACACTTCCAAGTGCCAGTTAGAATGTAGAAGAACAGATCACAAGCCTTGTGCTTCCCTGATGTCTGCAATAAATGTGTTATCTGACTTTCTGAAGATGGATTTATATAGAGTACAAATAACAGACATTATTCACATTCATAACTCAGTTCTCATTACTTGAAAGACTCTTCTGTTCTTCTTCTTTGTGCATTCACAGAATATTTATTGTATTGTTTCCAAGGTTGTTCCATCTTTTCACACAGGAAATAAAATGTAAAAAATAATAATTTGGCTACATAAAGTAAGACCGTATAAGCTTCCTAGAAAGAAAAGAGCCCTAAAACTAGACTGAAAACATCCTAAGGTGCTACATTTTGTGTCTCCCTAGAATGCCACTGTCGCCTCCTGACAAACGCCATAGAAAAAAACCTCACTAAGCAAGCAAACTTCAACAACCACATCCCACAATGCATTTGTTAGTGCCTGAGTGACTTATCACCAAGCACGATGCCTGTGCAGTATCCCCTTATAGATTAATATGGGACGATCTTCTGAACAACTCCTGCCTTAAGAGAAAGTCCCATGGAAGTTTACTGTGTTCACCTGCACAAACAGACAAAGGAAATAGATCTTGGTTGAAAGGAAGTAAACTTCCAGGCCACAACTATAGGAACTTTGCAGTTTGGGCATGAGAAGGTAAGGTGGGGGGGATGGGGGGTGGTATTAAGGATTAAATAGCTAAACACAAAAGGAAAATGCATATAAGTGCATTTTCTTTGTGAAACACAATATGTAAAGACCAGTGTCAATGCGTGTATCCATAGATAAATGCAGCATGCCTATGGCATCAGTTTGAGACATTTCAGAAATCATTTTAAATTCAACACAAATTTGGTTTGTAGTTAATCTGCATTTGACCTGCTTGAAGCAGCTTTGACATCTCCTATAGACTTACATGAGCAGAGAGGCCGTTCTAAAGTGAATACCAGCCTGTACTAACCTTGCCTTGTTTCCTTCCAATACGATTTCTAGTGTAGTTTTCACTTTCTACCAGTAGATATTCCCACCTATCTTTAGTTGAAAGCTTGTACAAGAGATGTTCTTCCTTTTTGTTCTTCTAGAGCAGTGGTCTCCAAACTGCAGCTTGTCTTTATCCAGCCTTTGGGGCACTATTCCTCATACTGACTCCAACAATGTAAGCATAATTCTTGCCACTGCCACTATCAATGGGGCACTATTCTGCCCACTGACACTGATGATGGTGCACTATTCCTTCCAATGACACCAATGATGGGGCACTATTCCTCCCACTGACAGCAAAAAATGGGACACTATTCCTCTCACTGACACCAATGATGGGACATTATTCCTCCCACTAAAGATATGGCATTGTTTACTTCCACAGCTACCAGAACATTTTCTACTCCTACTGGTCACAGTCCAGCCCCCCTAAAGTGTTAAGGACAGTAAACTGGCCCCTTGTTTAGAAAGTTTAGAGACCCTTATTCTAGGGGGATATTAAGCGTGGCACCAATGTGCCCACTGCTATGGACTCCTGACACCACCTTTGAAAAGTATTCTTAAGATTTTGGCAGCCATGTTCGGGGGGGGTCCATATACTGTAATGCCCCTGTTGTGCCATGTGAGTAGCCCTGGAGAGTGGGGAAAGTGTTTAGGGACAGAAACCCATCCTAGGAAAGAAACCAGCAAATTAGCATGCCACCATGTGTTTTATGAAAAACACAAACCGTTCACAATGTCTTCGATAACAATTACACTAGTTTCAATAATATTTATTGAAAGAGTTTTTACAAAGGCTTGAAAGGCAGACATTAACATAAAAGAATACGTCCTACAGTCGGCCCCGCTTGAATTATCAAAGAGCAAACATAAGTATGAAACTACTACGCAGGCGGCATAGAGTGTCAACATGGAAATAATGACAACAATAAGCTTCAGGAATAACATACTGACAGTCATAAGATCACCAGAAGGAATTTGCATTGATGTTAGAAACAAAACATTTTCCCCAGTCACATAACAGCTGAGAAGCAGTTTATATAAGATATATAAAAGAATGGAAACTGGGAGGGGGGACCCCAATTCAAAATACCCTCAGGGAATAGATGGAAAGTGCAAGCAGAGCCAGAAAGAAAAGAGAAAGGGGGGATAGGGGAAAGGGGGAAGAAGAATTAAAAATAGAAGAAGAGAAAGAAGAGAGAGAGAGTAGAAAGGGGAATTGAGAACTGTACCGTCCGCACCCCCGGTCACCACCAGAGTACTCCCTATGTAGAAGTACAAAGACATTGTATCCATGGATTCCAGACTCTCTTGAACCGGACAGTTGTGTCCAATTACACTTTTTAAGAAATGTCTGTAATAACACTGTCACAACAGACAATATAATAGCACTCTTCAAAGAGAAAGGGATTCTTTAAGTTCCAGCTTACTGCATTAGAGATAATTGAACAATGTTAAAGAAAACAAAAAGAGATCAAGAATGAAAGTATTTGAAGTCCAGTTTTTTTTTTGTTCCAGCAAAGTTCAGTCAATGGTAAACAAATGGATCAGTGTTGGCTCTCATAAAAAAAAAGCTCTCAGCTGATATTCTCTATGTTATGGTAAAGGAACGCTCCAAACTGCTGATGCAGCCAGAAATAGCCTGACCAATCAAAAGGTCTGAGGATTGGACAGTGATTGTGCAGCCGCCAGTACCTCAGATACAGTTTGCTAAATGTGTCATTATTTCAAGTATACTACATCACAATTTGGTATCTCACATATTATTGTCCAGCATGGAATCACAATTCTTTAGAGACTAAAAATGATGATGATGATAAGAAGGTAAACACAGGAAATATATCTACTCCACCTTCGGTATATGATAGCCTAGCCATGTTTAACCTTGAACCATTCAGTATCTTCTTCCACAATCCGATTTATAAACATTATTAACATAGCTGTATCATATCTGATTTTATGAATAGTGTGCAGATTTTGAAATTGCGCATGTAGCCTCCCTGGCTGTATTCCCGAGTGTAGCTCGGGGTAAAGTTTCAGCACCACAAGCGGTAACCCCCAAGCTACCCTCGGGCTTAAAATGCGGCGTTGCTCTGGGATCTGTTCTTCACTTACCTTGTCCTGCACTCCCACGATGTCCCCCCTGCAGTGTCTCCGGCAATGTCTTCTGGCGGATGCCGGCATCTGTCATCAGGTTCCGTCCCCTGCGAGCGTCGGGACGTACGGGGATGGAATGGCGGGAAATTTGAAAATTACAAAAAGTGACATTCACTAAATTCACTAAAATCACATAGTATAACATTACTGTATCAAACCATTTCACATACATTTTGTCCCGAGTGCTTTGTCCTGTGCCCTGCCTGCATTTTTACTGTTATTTCTGCCTGGAAACTGAGAAATATCCATGACGTCCAAAAAGCGCCCCTTTAGGTCAAAAGCGGTTTTAGACCAGCTAGAGAACAGTGATAGCAAATTAGAACCACTTGCAGAATTGATTGATAATGATTCGTGGGGAAATTCGTCATCAGACACTGAAAACGATTCTGCGACTTTGCTCAGTGATGTGCGAACTTGGCGCTATATTTCAAATTTCAGTGTTTTTTTGGTTTGATTATATTATTGAATAAAATGTATTATTATTATATTATTTTTTTTAATGATTATTTAATAAATTATAATTTATGATTTCATGTTTAAAATTGTAACATACCCGGGATGTTTACTAGACTCTTGTTCGGACAGATTTCAGTGAGTTATTCCGAAAAATTACAGGCCTACAATAAAAAAATACATATTTCCATGCAAAAAAATGTACCGCTTTGAGCACAGAAATATGGACATAATCAGACCGCTAGGGAGGTTAAGGAGGGGTTTCCTGCATGCCAAGTAGGCCAGCTATCACTATGGAACAGGCTAAATATCTTGTATGATATCAATTAGCCCTTTTTACGACTCTGGGGTTAGCTATTCTTTATCTGCCTGAACAGTCATGGAGGGAGTGGGGGGGTTCTCTGTCAGGAAATCTCGTTCCTCCCCCACTGAATAGCCTATAATCTAACCCACAAATTGGTTCTTCTTTGTAATGTTTGTAACATTGATGAAAACTCCTACTGGTGATCTTATGATTGTCCATGTATTATTCCTGAAGCCTATTGTTGTCATTATTTAAATGTCGACACTTCATGCTACCTGGTTTCGTACTTATGTTTGCTCTTTGATAAATCAAGGGAGTCTGACTATAGGCCTTATTCTTTTATGTTAATGTCTGCCTTTCAAACCTTTGTAAAAGCCCTTTCAATAAATATCGTTGAAACTAAAAAGCATAATTGTTTTCAAAGACATTGTGAACGGTTTGTATTTTTTATAAAAGACATGGTGGCATGCTAATTTGCCGGTTTTCTTTCCAAGGAACCTGTCCCTACACACTTTTCCCACTCCAGGGCTCTTCACATGGCACAACAGGGGCATTAAATGACCCATCCCTCCCAAAGATGGCTGCCAAAATCTCAAAAACCCCAGTTTTTATTGCTAATAAAGGTAAAGTGTTTTAAAATGTAAAAATATGTCAACTCACTACGTCAGTGCAGCAAATGTATTAATACAAAAGAAAAAAGGTGACTGGAATACCAGTCAAAGGGAAGCTGCTTTCCTGGGACACACGTGGTTTATAAAAAAACAAAGTTTAATGAAGTAAATACAAAATATGTTTGTTAATATATATATATATATATACAGTATATATATATATTGTAAATACTCTTCTTCTACAACATTGTCTTTTTTATTGGTGGAAGAAAGGTATTTATATATATGTGAGTGATTTTTTTATACTATTTTCTTTCAAAATTTGACATTTAGAATGATATTTTGTATTTATTTAAGGTATAACTAAAGGATAAACTTTTTTTTCTAGTTTTGGATAGGGTAGAGAGGTATTAGAACACCTGTTTTTATTGCAGTCTGTGCCCCTGTTTACCATTATCGTGAAGGTAAATCTCCCCAATGGGACAAAAAAACTGATAGAGGATTCTAACTCTTCATTACTCTATCCAAAATGAAAAAGAAAGTTTTGTTTTTAGTCACACTTTCCAGCAGCCTTTCTCAACCTTTTCAACACAGAAGAATTCTCAGGAAACCCCTGCTAAAAATTACTATATCTACAACTCATGATTCATTATTGTGATGGTCACTGGGAAAAATTACCCCCTTATAGATAACTAAAAAGATCAATGATGTCAGTGGGAACTTGTCAGTGGGAGGATCTCTCACTGACTTAGTGAGCAGGCATATTTCTACGGTTTAATCCATTTTATCTCTGTATTAGCAATAAAAACTGACAGGGGTTCTAATTCTTCTCCACTGTATCCATCCCACTGGATATCACATGATACAAATTACCAAATGATTTCATAAAATAAATACCACATATTTCGATGAAATACCGCATGCCTTATTTTATTGCGTTTTTGTGAATTGCTAAAACAATTATGAAAAACACTATGAGGCATTTTACTGCGCATTTTAAAGAGGAAAATACCACTTTGTGAACGAAGCCCATTATTACAGTGATCAGTGCTAATATTATGCACTGTCACTGTACTAATGACACTGGGCAGGAAGGGGATAACATCTAGACCGATAAAGGGGTTAAGTGTGTGCCTAACAAGTGTTTGTGTCTTCACTGTGTGCTGCTTTTCCTGAGGATCCAGTTGTTTTCATTCCCCACTTAGCAGGGAATGCAAAAACAACTCAATCCCCTGTCACTGAACACAGCTTTGTGTTGTTTACTAGCACAGAGCTGTGTTCAGTGAAACACAGAGCTGATAATCAGGTCCCAGTGGTCAATCTAGGCTGGGACCTAGTGATTGGCATGTACTGTGACTAATCACAGCAAAGCCGCACTGGTGGGTGCGTGGATCACGTAAGTTCCATTTTAAGTGCCAGCTCTGCCCCCCTGCAAGGAGGGTGCACCTTGGTAAGGATATAATAGGAAAGCAAAGGGCTTCCTGGTTCAGCTGTCATGAAGAGAGTGTTTACTAGTTGTGTCTGTGGATGGACTGGACCAGATCAACATGTAGGCAATTGGGCTTATTCGCTTAGCTTATTATCAGGGGGGAAGCCTGGAGCAGTGAAAGGATTTTATGCATTTATGAGACTACTGGGATCCCTCTGCTCTGTGATGCCAACCTCTGGGACACATAATATATAATTATCTCTATATGAGGACATCTCCTGGAAACAAAACTTGGCAAAATGGGGTCCATTAATGTAAGACCTAAAGCAGGTCGGCAGAGAACTGTCCACAGGTACCAGTTAAGCCTGAATGGGTCACCCTTCGGGTATCCCCACACAAAACGGAAAGTAGGATACTTCCCCTGAAGGCCCCCGTGTCCGTGGTATTCTATTAAAATAAAATCACAACCCCAGGGTTCAGGCAGGAACAGGTTATAGAGCAGCTGTTCTCGCCCACAACATTACATTACTTTTAGTTTGAATGACCTTCAAAGCTACAAATAAGCCCATAGAATATGGCGATTAAACTGTATGCACAAAAGGTATGCCATGGCCATGGTGTATGTATATCCAAATCTTTTTTATTCCTTAATTTTTGATAGTCGATAGTTTTTGAGATTAGAAAATAGTTAGAACCCCTGTCTTTTTACTACTCTCTGTATCCCTGTTGGAGGCTTTACCATCTCTGTTTGTCTTGGTGACCATTGTCATAGTCACCATAACCAAACATCATAGGAAACCCAATCATGTACAGTTGTCCCTGGAATATCATTCTTCCAATAGGCAAACTTGCTCTACGAGGAGATTTCCCTTAACCTTGTAGTGATTTCCTCTAAAAAGAGCTTCACTCCTCATATTGGACAAATCTATCATTGTTAAAAAGTGTGCAATTTTTGCATAGGGGAATATTGTAAAGGTAGTTACATTTTAAGTGTAATTAACCCTAACTGAATGACATTTGTGGACCACCTTCATGGTAGTGATAATGGTGGACCCTGCCTGCTCAATGTGAGTCAGCCACTTATAGCCTTCAAGGGTGGTGCATATGACCATAGGAGTATAAGTGGGACAGACATTTGTAATTCAAAAACATTAAGAGCCTGACCAAGAAGCTTGATGGAAGGATCATCAGGTAGGCTTTTTTTTATATTTTAGGAAAGCAACATATTTAAAAATATTGAAAGCACTTTTAAATAACACAAGTTTATTAAATAGATAAGGTTTAGTGAATGGTAAAGATCTACATTAGCAAAGTAAAACTATTCAAGTTTTTAGTTTCTTATTAAGGTACTTAGAAAGCATTTGGCTGTGGTAAACGTTGTCAGTTGTGACAAAACGCATATGGTGGAACCAAGATTTGTGACGTCATCACGCACTGGAGACCTGGAAGTGGCCTGTGCCAGCCCCGGGACTGAATATTGAATTCATATGCACGTATGTTTTTATGTTTGTGAGTATCATTTCTTTATTTTAATAAACCATTGGAATTTTATGGATTTACACTATGTGGTCTCCTGGCTTTCACTCAATTAAAATGGTGGAGTTCGTCTCTTTGGAATAATGGAATCCATCGTAACGATGCCATCTACCTCCTGAATAGCATGCTTCTTGTGACACAAGCACACTTTGATTTCTTATAATTTAGAGGTTAAATTGATCTGGTAAGCGTGTTTTGGATTGAATGGTGAAGGTGCATTTGAGTGGTGTTCCTATTCAGTTAATCCTTCTGGTATTGGTTCATGCTGATGCTATTCTGTTGTTTCAGAAGGGGTTTGGTTTCCACAGCTATTCACCTTGCACTTTATCAAGTATCATTTCATTTGGATTTCACTTATCTTGCACTGGATAGAGGATTATTTATTGCTGGATGTTTATGTATGATTTTGTTTTTTATATATCTGAGCATATTGTAGAGTGATATATACATATACACATAGCACTGCATATTTGTTATTAATGAGGTAAACTCTTACCCAAAACTGCAAGGTATGTTTTAAGCTGAGGAATTATTTCTCTTAAAAAGCAACTCCAGGTACCAGGTAATTTCAATGAATAAATACTTCATGCTATCCAGGAAGAACTGCAGTTGGTAAGCAGCCAGAGGGTTCTATCAGTTCACTTTGATCTGATGAGTATGTGCTCTCTACACTGATGTACTTCCCAATTCTCACAAAAAGAATTCTTGGCAGAACTACAGCAGCTGCACAAAATCCTGACTGACACCAGATGGGTTGAGACAATGAGCAAAGGAGGACCAGGAAAAGTGAGGAAGGCCTGGAGGAGAACATGGGAGCTCAAAACTGGTGCAGGAGAACA